TTGATTACACAGGGGGTTTAGATGCTTACCTCCTAACTTAGTTGTCTTTGCTAATGTAGGAGGGATGAATGCAAGCTGAAAAGTCCAAGACAAAACATTCTCCCTACTGAGCTTTGTTTCTTCTTTCAGGACACTGTTGTCGTTAATGATCGTTGGTGTAATAACTGCTCTTGCAATCACGGAGGCTACTACAATTGTGCTGACAAATACAAGCCAGGGACCCTGCCAACGCACAAGTGGGAGATGTGCTCCTCCATTGACAAGCTTTCCTGGGGCTATCGAAGCAACATGAACATTGCTGAGTTAATGGATGAAGCAAGTATCATTGAGGTAAGAAATCTGAAATCGAAATAACAGGTGTGGGGAATTACTGAGAATTAGAGGTTTCCTTCATCCTCTGACTGGCAGAGAGTTGTGTGTCTTACAACGAGGCTGGAGTTAAAGAAGCAGCTGACGAGGACAAAGCCCTCCTCAGATTCCTTTGTTGTCAGAAATTAAGATAATGCAATTTGGTACCTTGGTTTATCTGTCGCAGGAGCTAGTACAGACTGTGAGTTTTGGAGGCAACTACCTTATCAATGTGGGACCTACAAAAGAAGGGGTGATTGTTCCCATTTTCCAAGAAAGACTTCTGGCGCTTGGGAGGTGGCTGGACACTAATGGGGAGGCAATTTATGAATCGAAGCCATGGCGAGTACAGATGGAGAACAGCACAGACACGGTCTGGTAAGGACTCTGTTGCTCAGTACCATCTGGGCTGGGACTTCCAGAGCTGACGTACGTTTCTTTCTTATTTGTTCTTAAATTTGGTACACTCTGAAGTGTTGCCATCAGGCGACGCAGATGGCGTTTAGGTAATATCCTGCAATTGGAGTGCTCAGTTACTGCCCCAGGGTGTTATCTAAGGAGTATCTTGCGTGAAAGAAGAGAATAAAAATCTTCATCCATCTTGCTTGATTTGGAAAAAACCTCTTCCTTTAAAAAAAATTCCATGCTGCTGCTGTCAGGACTGTTTAAGTAGTGGCCCTGGCTAGTTTGAATTGCACAAATGTAGTTCATCTAAACACATAGAGATTGTAAATGTAGTGATATTTGCTTTTAAGCTGTTATATAGTAGTACTAATCACTGTTGCCCAGCTGTCAGATTTATACTGACTGAGAAGGGCATAGTGAGCCAGAAATTGCTACAAAATTGAGTTATTTTTTTTCCTCAAGTGTGCCCAAGTCTGATTCCATCTGGAAATGCAGAGCAGTGGTCAGGATAAGGCAGCATATCCGCTCTGTTGACCACAAGCTGAGGCAAGGACAGAATGGCAAGTGACATTTGCTTTTCGGAAGCACGCACGGACTTTGTTTGGGTTTCATCAGCCGGTGCTGACTGGCTAAATGGTGGGTCCAAAGTGACAGATTCTGGAATGAGGGGAAAGTAGGTGACCCCTGTGTGGTGACAGCAGGCAAGCCAGTGTTCCCGTGCTGTCTGGAAAGGTCAAGCTCATGTCTGGTTCTCTCTCTTATGGGGCTCTTCACCCTGCGGAACTCTTGCTCTCCTAGGTACACTTCTAAGGGACCAGTTGTCTATGCCATCCTGCTGATCTGGCCTCGGGACAACATTTTGGAGCTGTCCTCGCCCACTCCATCCCCAGCCACACAAGTAAGGAACTTGAAAAAAAGATAACGCACTCTGAGAACCCATCTTGGGCGCACGTGGGCTGGGAAGGTCCAACCTGACTGCACTTGGAAACTGGGGAGAGTGTGGAAGTTGTCATCCCGTACTTCTTGTTCTGGGGTGCTCTGGCCTCCCTCCAGATCCTTGTGGCATCCCAGGTGATTCTCCAGGCTTTAGCTCACTGCTAACGTCGAACATTGGATGGGGCTTGCCAGGAGAGGCTCACACTCTGCCATAGAATAGGCAGAGACGATTCTCCCCCAGAGTCTTTTGTTCCTATTGACGCAGGGGGGTGAAGTAAATAACAAGCCTCACACACAGAAGGCATGACTGCTATTGCATCTCAAATTCAAATCAGGTACACTGACCCGCTAATTGAAAATGTAATTGTAAGTGACGCAAATGCTGGAGTGCCCTTTGCTCTAAACAAACAGAGGTGAAGCCGCCTCAGGAAAAAAAACCCAAACCAAACCAAAGCAAACCAAACCAAACAACAAACCACAGTCAAATGTTTGGCCCCGGAATATCCCGTGTGTTACCTTCTGTGCACTGTGAGCGATGGGTGGAAATGTGCAGGACTGCTTTGGAGGTGTGGGAAATGCTGTACAGGGACTGCAAACGTGGTTTGGGTGTACCGGGGTGTTCACACGGGAGGCACCCGTGGGAGCTACCCCTGAGCGTTTCCCCCGCCCTCCTCTGCAGGTGACGATGCTGGGTTTTGCAGGGGCTCTGAAGTGGCAGAAGTCCCCAGGTAAAGGACTGCTCATAACTTTGCCCTGCCTGCCTCCGTCTCCTCTGCCTCCTCAGTCTGGCTGGACCCTCAGGCTTGAGGGTGTGAAGTGACGGCTGCGGGGTGAAAGCAGCAGTCTCCCCCTGCCTTTCTTTTAAATGGAGTCTAAGAGGGTTTTTCATTTATTGTTGAATAAATTGTTTTTCTCTTAAGAGAATTTCTCTTCTAATCCCTTTTGCCTGTAAGCGATCAGAGTATCAGTGGACCTTGTTTGGCAGCAAAGGCCTGACCTCCCCGCTCGGCGGTGGGAAGCTGGGACGTCCTTTGCAGCGTTCTGCTGGGATGTGACAGCCCGTGAGCCAAACATCCACACTTGGAACACGAAGGTTTTTTGCTGTAAAGCTGGGCTTCTTGGTGGATGTCACTGCTGCGCTGCTGTGATTACAGGTGATGATGTCAGACAGGCTCAGAGGCGGTGGGAGACTGAACAGAGTTAGTTTGGGGCAGTTAAGAGGGCCTGCTTTGGGGTGTCAGGCCAGGCCGTGTAGCACCTAGGCGTTAGCGCGTGAAGCTGGCAGATCACGCAGCCAACGAGGAGACGTGTGTGTTAACGGTGAGAGGGTTTGGCCGGCTGGGGCAGCTCGCAGGACGTGGCGCAGCAGGAGCTGTGTCCATCTTCACGCGTGCGTAGCCGGCACTGGGGAGCCAGGGTCTGCACCTCCCAGGCAGGAGCAGGCCCCGCCGCTTCCCTGCCTTAATTACTCATTGAAATTAATTTTGATAACCAATGTGATACTCTTATATGTGGAATCACGAAGCCTTGCACGTGATGGGCATGTTCTAATGAAGACCAACCACAGTGCCATCGCGGATTCCTGCGTATGACGGACTTGCACGAAGCTAGGTACTCGATAAGATGCGTTGTATTACTTTGGTATTGACTGAAGCAATTATGATCACATAGACCCATCACGAATAAATATAATGGAAGCTTGTTGTTTGAAGAGGTCTAGAAGAAATCAGCTATGGAAAATCATAATCTAATACAAATCCATTAACAAACTTTTATTTATATTCCGGTGGAGACAGCTATAAGCAGAAGAGTTTTTGTTCTTATGTGAATTTAACAGAGAAGGCACCGCTCTGAACGGAACCTCTGGTTTCTGCCGCTTCAGTGAAATAAGATTTCCTGCGTTGATGTTGAACTTCTCTAACGAGGGTCGAACGACGTGTACTTCAGTGATGGAACTCCTCATAATAGCGCGTTTCTGCAGCACAGCTGCTGCGAAGGCCCCGCAACGTTGCGTACAGGCTTTATTTTGTTCGTGTACAATGTGGTGCAAGGAAAAGTTGCCAAACACTTCGAGTTTAGCGCAAGCCGAGCCCCAGGGCCGGGACACGTGCTGCGCCGGCGTTGTAGGAGCTGTTACTCAATTGTCAAATAACGATCTGTACTGACGAATCTGTGCGGACTTCAGAGAACTGGCACTGGCTGCCAGAGACCCGTTTACTCACAGGAGCATCACCCCGGCGCCGCTGATGACGCCGTTACGAACGCAGAGGGGGGAAAAAAAAGGGACACCAGAGCAACGGCCTTTTCGTCTCCCAACCCCATCACGCCGGCAACCTCTGGCGCGGGGAGGGGGCCCGCCCAAAACAAACACGCCGTGTTTATTTAGCGGCACGGGCCAGCGGCGAAGCCATCGTATAAGGAAGCGGCTCCCGAGCGGCCGCACAGTGCCGGTGCGGGAGGGAAACATGCCGCGGTGCGACACCGGATCGCTGTCGCGGGACGGCCCGCGGGGACAGGTGCGAGCCGGGG